TTTACTCTGCTCTTCCCATTAATTTTCAAGAAGTCAGCTGTGAAATGTTAAAGGTAGTTAAGCCTACAGAGCATTTTACAGGATCAGAAACAGGGGAGCTAGTGGATTAGGACATGATATTTGGAATCAGTGTGGTTGTTCAAGTGCCAGAAGCAAAACTTAATATTTATGAATCCTTTTGGGTCAGCATTCATGGTGGTAAGCATTAATGGAGTGCCTTTCCTTTTTGAGTACTTAAAAATAGCTAAGTATAAATAAGTATATTTTCCGTATTACTGTAAAAAATCCATCTGCATAACTTTGCAGATGGTCTGAAATGCTTACTTTGTAATTACAATTCTGCTCTACCATTGCTTGTAAAATGTATGCAGTGACTGATGATAATTTAATAACTATTTGTATCATATTGCTGATCAAAGCACACAAAAAGGATGAAATTATTTTAATAAAATCTACTGGGAACAAAGTTTTGTTCTGCCCTCCTAGGTCAGTTCAATTTGGCTTATGGAGTACACATTTTTCCTAATTAGATGCTTTTCTGTGTTATCAATTCACGAAGATACTTTGTGTGAAATTGCCCAAATATTTAGGAGAGGATTTAGAAATGTCATGATGTCAAGTGCATATGGAATGTTCTCTGCAGCTTAGACTAGTGGGAATGGCTACAGAAGAGACATGAACCAGACTCTGCAGGGTTTCAGAGTCCCTGTTCTAGCAACTCTTCTGTGATCATCTACAGCCTCTAGCTGCCTGGAGTTTTGGGATGACTGTTGTGAGGTTCTCTTGTTCAATTACGGGTGCAGTTTGCCTGAACTATTCATTTGAAGTGTAAGATGTGGTGACTTTTTCTGTATTTTACTTCTGTTATTTTTGACCTATCAAATATGATTCCACACATTAATACACCTGTTTAGGCTTATTTTTCAACATGTGAGATAGAAGTAGCTACACATAAAAATAGAAAATTGGCATATAAATAGCAATAATTCTGCAAATGAAATGTCGATGGTACAGGGAACATACATCTTGGCTTTAAAATCTGAAATCTACTCAGTTCATTAAAAATAGTGTAGTGTTTGAATAAACAAAATACATAATTATAGAGCTTTGGAATTCCAAGGAGCTTTTAAATTTCCATGTCCAGCTTCAGTTTTGAAGTTTACTCAAAGTTCAACTTACTACATGAAGTTCTACCTAACACATAAAAGACAATTGAAGAGCCAAATTAAAGACACATAAAAGACAAACATAAAAGACACATAACCTAACATATAAAAGACAATTAAAGAACCAAGGACACTGATTATATTATTTAATTCTAAACAATTTTTTTTAAATTTTTTGAATACTAGAAAATTTGGAGGGATAAATCTTTGGAAACAAAGATTTAATAATTCATGTAATCAGCAGATTCCTCTACTTTTTGACTCAATGAAAAGAAGTATGGTCATTGTGGGTTGCTAGTGTTTAATGTGTCACTTCCCAGGTTGTGCCTCTGCAGTTTATTTTTTGTACATTTTTAGCTTCCAATTAACAAGATTTGAAGTGGTATCCTAATAAGAAATTATAAAAAATGCTTCATTTCTTTGTGCCTGCCAATCAGCCTGTGTCTCTCTTGATTGTGCAGTCCATGCTGATTTTAACATCTTCATGCATGTACTTTCCGGTTTACCAATGAACCTCCCTCTAATCTCTCCTTGTCAGTTTGTATTCAGTAGACTACTAAATAACTATTGTGAAATGGAAATATAGTAAATTATAATAAATTATAAGCAAATGTATCAGATTGTTGAAGCTCAGTAAAAAGCAGACAGCTGAAACGCCGCAGCTCTTTGAAGTAAGGTTTTTACATGCTTGTTTCACATAGCAGGTACTTGAGCAGGTTCATTATCCAGACTGTCCCAGTGAAGAAAAAGGCATAATAATGTCTTGTCCTCTTCTCTCCTCTCCATTTTTATAGGCTTTGGAAGGGCTGAAATCACAATGAGGGGAGTCGAGATCACGTGACAATGCTGGTGTCTCTGTGCACTCTCTAACAGCAGTTAAGGAGCATCCTGAAGGAATATAGGGAGAATCTGAGAAAGCATCTTCAGAAGATGCTCTTTTCTCACCCCTTCCTCTGTGTCTTGGCCTCATTTCACAGCTGCATCTACAGTAATGAAAAACAATTGCTTTGCTTTGAGCATGTTGACTCTGGTGGGAGTATTATTATAAATTGTATAGCTCATATGTGAATCTTGGTTTTGATAGTGAAAACAAAGTCTCTTTTAGGTAGCAAATTAATATTTCTCTCTACCTCCTCAGCTATATGCACAGTTCCCTGCACCAAACACATTTTCCCCTGTACCAGGGCACAAGAGGCTGAAAGTATAAATTGAGTTTTATTTTTTTAGCTAACTATTCTGTGAAGGAGAAGTAGAATTGCTGAGGTAGAACTGGCTACATCCCTAGTACAGTGTCCTAAGGGGGGGTAAAGGAATAGCACTAAGAATTGTTAACCAAATGTCCAGTAAACACCCAGGCAGTGTGTTCCTAACAGTGAGAAAATGTCCTGTTATACAGATTTGTAAATTAATTATATTGCTTCTTTTTTTAAGTTTTGTTTATCTGATACCACCCCCTGGTCTGATAGTCATTGGGTATGACCTAAGTCAAAAGAACTTCTAGTATTTCAAAAACCAACTTGATTTTGTTTTGCTTTGTTTTGTTTTGTAGCTTCACTTGTAGGAAGAGCACAGAGTATCTCTCACATTCTAATGCAGCTATTGGAAGAGAAGTCCAGTATGAAAAAATATAAAAGGAGAATGGGAACAAGATAACAAAAGCCATGAAAAGCTAGAGAAGAAAGGAGGGAGGGAAGGGAAAACCAAATGACTTTAAAAGGAAGAAGAAAATATAGGAGGGGGAGAAGATGACAGACAGCCAGGATGAGAAAAGGCAGTGAAAGAAAAAGTGCTTAGTAATAAGGTCTCTCTAAGTAAAGATGTCTTTTTTTTTTTTTTTTTTTTTTTTAAGAAATATGTCGAAGCTCTCTGGTTGAATATTTTCTGTGGCTGAAAACATTCTGTGATTGTGACCAAGAAATCATTGGAATAAGACATTAAGCTTTGCAGTTCTGGGTAAATGGTTGGACTCAATGATCTTAGAGGTCTTTTCTAACCTAAATGATTCTATGATTCTAAATAGAAACTATATACATAGTGGTTTTCAATACACTGAGCTGCAGAGCATGTATTGCATGATGGGAGCACCTTCACATTCCTCCGGTGTTAACATTCCCACAAGTACATTGCAAATCTCTACCCATTGTGGCAGCTGTGAGTTGTGTGTGGTGTTATGCATCAAACTGAACAGTATTTCTTGACTGCACCATCAGGAGAAATTTATTTGGGACTTTTGGGTAAATTTATTCTATTCATCGGGGTTTGACAGATTGGAATTACATACACGGTATTCAGTAATAATGTCTGCAGAAGGGTTTTTAAGCAGTGCTTTCTCCAGCTGCTTCTTCCAGAATCCCTGGTTTCTTAAGTCTCTGTTTTTTATGAGATTTTTCCTTGGCAAAATATTAGGAGGCCACACAGAGAAGTGAGTTATCACCTGGAAAAATTTTGGTAGGATGGCAGTTATAGATCTTCAAGGTTTTTAAGAAAGCGGTTCTAACACCACTCCTCAGAAACAGTCTTTCCTTTTCTTCTACTTCTTGGGTATTTCTTATCAGTTTCTTGTCTCCTGGGTTTAGGTGGGATATGCATAGCATTTATTCAAGTCATTTGTACAGAAAGGTACAAAGCAGGAAGATATTGCCCTGACTTCTGTTGTTTTAACTATACTGATACTGCTAAAGATAAAAAATATAATTAAAAAAAGCATGAACTTGATACTAATCACATAAAACACTAATAAAGTATACTTTGTAAGATTAAATCTTTTTTTCTCTGTCAGCTAAAAACTAGGAAAGTTTGGTTTTTTTTTTTTTTTTTTTTCTTTTGGGTTTGTAGCATTTGCATATGGAAGTTTGTGTTGTCACTGTTCTCTCTTGTTGAATCTGTTCTTGAAGAAACAAGAAACTGCACCTTGGTCCTTCAGTGGAAAAACTGACCTCTTTAATTAATGAAGATTACACAGAAATTAAAGTGCAGTGTTGATTAGCTGAATGTCATGGGGGGTCACTGCATAATTTCAGATGCTCGAGAGAATCTCCCATACGCTTAATAGGCGTCGTGACCCTGTATTAGTTGAAACGGAAGTTGGAACAAGGGAGCAAAGGGCACAGCTTTCCAATCTAGTTACATGAACCAGTGTGAAACACAGAGGCATGTCGCCTGGACTAGATAGATATTATCTGAAAGAAATAGTTAATGCTTCCACTGTTAAATAAAAAGATTATCTAGTGCGTCTTTGAACGTTTTTCTAATCTCTTCTGCAGGTCTGGCATTCCACCAGTGCAACTATGAGTATGCATCACACCAGAGTATGGTGTGATTAGATGTATCTATTGATGGGTCTAATGAGAATATGGAGGATTCATTTGAAAACAAATCCAAATTTTATTTTTTAATTAAATTTATGTTTAACATTGTTACAGAAGCGGGGAATTGCCAATGTCAATTAATGCCATTGAGCTGATTTCTTATTAATTGGTCGTTGCCAAATAATTAATCATTGACTGGATGCGTAGTTTAGTCTTTTCAGTTAATGAAAGACTGTTCATTTTCTCGAGGAAAAATCTGGAAATACTAATAGATTCTAAAGCCCTGCAGTGTTCTGAAGGCTGCATTAGGCTGAAAAAAGGCAAGAGAACTGTTACTTAGAGAAAATATATAAAGATCATTTTCCATCTGTTGCAAATGTTGCATTTTGACTTTTAATATGCTTTGTACTTGTTTTAGAGTGATTTGCATTTTATGGAAGTAAAATTTGAGTTAACACGAGTTTTTGGAGTGCTTGTATTTCAGTTCTTAAATGCTTAATGTTGTTTTTGTGATTTTCACATACAGATATTAAAGGAAAAAATTCAAGCAAAAATCAGTTATGACTTTTAAGTGGCAGATAACCAGCGGGTCACCTTCTGAAAGCTGTTTTGACTTTGTGAGCCAGAAGGTCCTTATGGAGTACTAGGCATCAGCTAAGATCCTTGGAAGGAACCAGAATGCTGCCCAAGGAGTGTTCCAAGGTCAGTGATCCCTAATCAAGCAGCTACCACAGAAAACAGGATGGTCTGTGAGCACAATAGCATGTGAAAACCACATTGCTGAGGTCTACAGGTGCTCTGTGTATAAGGTAAGAAAACTGAATTGGGCCTAAGTATGCATACCAAGGCTAAATAGGATGATTTGTCCTGGGGAGCATGTGAGGCAAAGAATAACAGATCCACTGCAACCCAGATGGTTTTGGGACCATCTGGGGAGTGGGACCTGCAAAGGCAAACAATGCCTGGGTAACTGTGAGAGCCCTGAGGGTCCTAAAGGGGATTCCTTACCCTGAGCTCTCTCCTGTGGGCCCTGAAGCCCCACATCAGCTCATCCTGGGGCCATTGGCCCACTGACACTGGAAGTTGATCTGTCTGCAGCCCCATGACAGTGGTGCCTGCAGCCTGACTGGGAACTTTGTTGTTCTGAACAGTGGAGTCTCTTCCCAGCTTGACATTGGCTCTGCCCTGGTGCTGTTGACCTGCCCGGCAGTCACCAGAATGTCTGAACCCTGGTCTGATCCTGTCTTCCCAGTCTGGTGTCAAACCTGCCTCATCACAGACTCTCTTGGCGATCTGGACTCGAGGCTGGGTCCCCTTCACCCAATCTGCCCTTGCCTCTCCCTGCCATGTAGGATGTGCCTTAGGCAGAAAGGCCCATGCTCTGGCAGCCCAGGGATTCCCCTTGGCTCCCAGCTTTTCCATTGCTTGGGGAGCAGCTGGCCCCTTGCTGTGCTGGGCAAGTAATTATACCTGTATTTACTCTGTATCAGTAGCATCACATTACCTGTGATTGACAGGTAATGACATAAGAAACACTAGATTTAGGTACATACATAGAAAAATTGGAAAAACTGGCAGGTGGTTTATTTGTTACGTGAGACATGGTGGTACAGGAAGCCAAAAAGGAAGGTCCAAAAATAGGGATATAACAGAGAATGAGGTATGAAGTCAGTTAATGAGGAGAGGGGGGATGATGGTAGGAGTGCAGATTTTTGCAGAGGCTGACCTACAGATCCAAGCCCACTTGGAGGAACCACCTCTTGATCAGCATACTGGACTATAAACCAGGTCTGCTTTCAGAAGACTTGGTGTAGGGGATCAGAACAAAAAGTGATGGGCCTCCACCCTCATATGAGAGAGTTCAAATGTGATTGAACATTGCATTTCCTTTACTGAGAAGTGGAATTTTGCCCTAAAACTGTTTGTTAGCTTTCGATACATTTTGCCCTTTAGGATGTTGTATACTTTTTTCACTTTTTAAAAAAAAAAAATTATTTTTCCTTTGTCTTCCATGGCTGCCCAGATCTTTTTATTCTAAACTTTCTGGATCCTCTAAACCTTAGAATTTGCTCTATGCATGTTTCCAGTCCATACATTTAAAGGTATCAAGCAATTTCTTTTTTGTCTTTAAGGAAAAGAGGAGAGGGAGCTGAACTTGATACTCAGATTTTCAGCTTAATACGTGTATTGCCAATCTGATTTAATACATAAAAGAATAAGACCACTTGTGCATGTGTTTAGTTTGGCTCTTTAGTGATGTTGTGAACATCAAAATATCCATCAGAAATAAGTTTATGTCTAAAACTGATGTACATTCAGGGGGGAGGAAAATCATAAACAATTTATTTGAATGAAATTCATGGATTTCAGTTTTATCGTGGACTTTCCGAATAGTTTTTCAATGTGAATTTTATATATTTGGATTCTGTTACAGTTCATGCTTGTGGCAAATGACAGTCTGATCAGTGTCTATTCAGATAAACTCTTGCCACAATTGATGTTAGATCTTACAGATTCTTTGTGAAGTTTGATCTTGATTATTTTTATTTTTAATAATGAATATTATTACCTATGGTTGTTGAATAGTCAAACTAGTCAAAGGTAAAAAGAAGTGGTTTTAGTTCCTGGGAAACAAGGTTGCTGAGAAGTTGAAAATTTTTCTTAATCACTTTAAACATACCAACTCCATAAATGCTGAGTGGTGACAGTGGAGCATTTTTAGATCGTTCTAAGAACACCTGAAAGAGAAATGAATTGTAATTTTGGTTTATTTTTATTCTTTGCATAATCTAATTTTATATTTAATTCATTTTTCTTATAGCTTGTTGTCACTAATAATGTTAAATTATTGAAGGTTTTGATTAAGCCTGTTGTTAGCTCTTAAACCTGAAGTAAGAACATGACATATTCAAAAGAGAAATAGTAAAGCCTTGTTTGAAAACACACAGTCTATAAATGATCTTTCCCAGTTGTTTAATGTTTATTCAATACTGTTTTCTCTGCTGCTGTTCACACAACACATAAAAAATGAAGCAACATTAATGTAAAGTTTTCAAGCCTAGCAAAACTGCTGGTTTATGTGAATTCTAATAGCCTACAGAATGTAGAAGACATTGAAAGTAATTTCTGAATTCACAGCCTATACCCTCCAGGGACAGCTTGTATATATAATTCCTTATGCAAATATTTAAAGGTTTGTGTTATATCTTCCAGAATATATTTTCATTTCTGATTTTTCTTCTTTGCTTAGTTGCATTTTGAGTGCTGGATTCTGTAGGTGTGGGTAAAATTGAAAAAACAGGTCAAAAAATAAGAAGTCTTTGGTTGCTTCAATAGCATTGTTCTTGGAAGTGTTGGTCTAGGAACCTGACTTTCTAGGTTAGGAAACAGAACAGTTTAAATAAATTTATGCTCAAAAAAGCAGTAATTACCATTTTCATGAATGCATAAATTGCAAATATTTTTTGTGTTATATTAACATAGAATTGTTAGTAGACTAATGAAGATGAGGCAACCTCTTTTTTTTAAAAGTATTCTCCCTCCTTTCAGCAAAAAGGCAAAGTAAATAAAACAAAAGAGTTGTTCTGTTTTCCTGTGAACTTTGAAGGACTTGTGCATTTCTTCTCTTTAGAGTTTCTCACTTCACTTGCAGACTTTTGGTAACAATTTCACTTTAAGACAATGAAGACTGTTCTTCCAAAATTAGGAATTTTCTTCCTGAAAATTAGGGCACAAGATAAAAAACTGTGTTGAAAGCATGTTTTTTATAAGAAACTCCTCAATCAGTTTCTATGTTGTGTCTTTTTTCTGATGTTGTTGATGCTGAGAGGCTGACAAGTGTGATGTCCACAAGACTCACAAATATTCAAACAAAATCAAGCACAGTTGAGAAATATGTATGCTCAGTTTAGTGAAGAGACTAACCAAGAATTAAAAGATTGAGCATCTTCCTGAATTCAGCTTTCAGGTGCAGGAATTCTATGCCTTGACCTATCTTTCAGATTTTTATTTTTATTTTGTCTAATGCATTTGTGCATCAGGGGTAGTAATAATTAAATATAAGGTAAAAATCCTCTCCAAAGAAATCCTACATGACTTTTAGTGTGATCTGAACCCTAAAAATAGTTCTTTTCAATAACAGCTTTAGGGCAAGTTTAGTTCACTAGGGTTTTATTGTAAAGGCAAAGACTGATTCATGTGAAGTGCAACAGCTGTGTAAGATGAGAGAATTCCCACTGTAGCCATAATCCCCTCTTGACTGGCTTCTTCTTGGAAGAGTTCCATTCACAGGTCCTTGTTGGATAGGGAGCTGCATGACTTGGGTGGCTGAGGTCATTTTAGAGAGATGTCCTGTTTCTCACATCACCCTGATGTCTTCTGGGATCTTTCCGCAGGCGTCCTGTACAAAAGGCATTTGATCCTTCCTTGGCTAGTCTCTGCTTGGAATTTAGGGGAGGGTGTTTCCATTACAAAGCTCCAGGTCTTGCAGCCACAAACTATCTTAAAATGTCCACTCTTTTTTCCCAAGCTGACTTCTTTCTAGATCCTTTGAAATTTTGTTGAATTGCAGTGCCTAATCTCCTTCAAAAAGCCCCTTTACATGGTCAGTAGTTAATAGCACACCCTAACTTTACAAACATTTTAGTCTATGGAAGCTCATTACTGTGATAATCCAATTATTTCTTTTGCTATGGATATTATGCTGTTTGTTATTTGGATAGTAGTTGAAAAGTGTTCTCTTCCCTAAGGTCATGAAATTCTGAAGGAATGAATGTATCACGTAGGCACTTAAGATTTCCTCACTCAAGTATTCCACATTTCTTTGTGGTTCATCTCCTGTCTTGCAGTTGATACTCCTTGTCCAGTTGCCTTTTCCTTAGTACTGAATTGTACCTCAATACTGCTCAACAGGCCTGCTGTCCAAGTGACCTGCATCTACACAGATCAAGTGGATATTTGTTGGTTCACCACTCAGGTTGAGAAGTGGAGAGAAGTTTTACTTGCGTTTTGAAATTTTTACTAAAAAACTCTCCCTTTTTATTTACAAATATTATTACAAGCCTTATTGATCTCATTAGCTTGTTCATTTCAAGTGTAACATAAATTTCTTTAACTTTCTACCATCCTTTACAGTAGTGGTCAGCCAGGATATGCCTTTATTGGGTTCTCAGATGTCTTTTTTCAATTATTCTAAAATTTTTAAATTTACTGGCTTAATCATCTTCCTAAAAATGCCTGTCACAGGTTTCTATTTCCTATATATTGTGTTAGTTACCTTGGTCTTCTCTGATAGTGCTCTTTCCTTTCTAAATATTGTAAGGCTCTTTTATGGCTTATATTACTTCTGTCTGTAACAGGGTGTTTTTCAGCACCTAATTTTAGATCTAGTTTTCTTTGCTGTTCTTTTCTTATATCCTAAGTGTATTCTCATCTGTCCATCCCTGTAAAATAGACAAAGGCAACAATTCTGCTGAAATTCTCCTTCATTTTGTGTTCTCTCATGTCCCTGATTTTCCTACAGTGAATAATAGAATTATTAGATACTAAAATTTACTCATTTCATCCTCATTAAGTATTGACCCTGTCTAATATCTTAGTGCAGCTTTTTGTGAAGGTGCTTTACCATTTGATGCCACTGACGGAGCAGCTACAGGCTTGGTGACATTAGGCTGGTTTGCTAAATGGCAAAACTGAAAGTATCCAAAAGTAGTAGAATAAATAGAAGAAAGATGCTTTTAAGAAATGGAAGAGAATAAAGGATAAACCTGGTAAATTCTGATTTGTTTTTACAGTGTTTTTATGTTTTATTTGGGGGTAAAAAAGAAATAAATTTCATATTGTGCTGCATAATGTGGATGAGGAGTGAGTACTTTTCTGTGGTATTACTCTGTATGCCAGTACACCTGTGATTTAGAAAAAAAAATTTTCTTCAAGATGAGTTGGTGCAATTTTGCTCCTGGAGAGTTAGCTAGTGCTTAAGTGTATGTAAATTATAGCAATCAAAATGCATGATTACTGAATCTTTGGAATAAACAAGTGGAATCAAGGCTAAAATTCATTTTTATAAGGAGAGGTGTATACAGTATAGGGATTCCTTGTCACATGTAATTCTTCTGGGTGAAAACCCACAATATATTGTTTTAATATTTTCCTCTGTAGCCAACACGATGTACAATTAATGACTAACTTGGTGATGTATTTTCCCAGGCTTAAAACAGCCAAGGTGCAAAGTGCTTCATGAATACCAGGCACTATCTCTGCTTGATAGATCAGGATTTAATCAGACAGCCCAGGACCATCTGATTGTTCCACAGCCTGGATAAAGGTTATTGTATTGTTTTGTATATCCTGACTATAAAAGAATGCTGACATAAGCGCATGGAACAATTATTTTTTGCTTGTGAGAGTTCTGAGAAATTTGCTATGAGAAGTTCATAAAAGTGTATCAGAATCAACCTGAAAGTATCCATAGCAGCAGGATCACCACTTCATGCTGATTTGCCCCATCAAATACTCAACATTATTAATTCTTAATTTTAAATCGCCTAATTGTCACTTCTAGCCATCCATTTCTGTTCTCTCCTGAACTGGAGTCTCTTGTCTGAAGCACATTTTTTCTCTGCAGAGGTGTTTCTGGGTTGTTGTGTCTGTTTTGATTCTTGGGAACATAAACTTCATTATGCCCTGCCTGTGAGATTAAATCACCTTATTTTTCTTACTATTCTTACACGTGCATCTAAGCACTCCCATCTTCTTTTCACTACAGCATCTCACTGAAAATTCATTGAATTACATGTTCATTCAGACCTCCAGAGACGGTGTTTTCTGGAAGACTGTCCTCATTCTTAAATATTTTCCCTCTTTTTCTGTTTCTGTCATAGCATAACTTAGCTGTGCTTAGGCAGACTTTATTTCAAATAGCTTCCCTATGAAAAGAAACAATTTTTTTTCTGGTCATTACCAACAAACCAGCCATTTCCTGTTGCTCACAAATCTTACCAGAAGTGTTTTATTCTTTAATTTTCTTCCAGAGCTTTGATGAAACAGAGTTGTCACTGAGTGTGAAGCATGATACCTGTGATCTTGTCCTACGTTTTGCACAACACAGAGATACAAAACCAGGAATTCAGTTATGTGTTCATAGTTTCATAGGAGCCATGTACTTGCCTCAGGGATTAAAAACAAGAATGTAGTCTCTCTGTTGTTGCCAGAACTACTGAGGCAGCTGAATACTCTTTATGCATTCTTTTGCTTCTGTTTTTCCAGGACCATGTGAAGTGTTAAATATGGGGCATGAAAATGGAGTTCACCATGGACATGGGTCTCTTGAGGCTACAAGCCTCTGGAGTGGTGAGTTTACCAGTTTCTTTAACATGGAAATCTGTTACTTTCTGGGATTGTTGAATAGTGCAAAAGGTTGAATGTAAAGGAAAGTATATTTTTATGACAACTGGACTACAGAAATAGCAATGACTTATACAAGGTCTTCAAAGTTTCTAATTATGAAACCCACATAGAAAGATGTGTAATTTTTATAAGTAAAGGATGGACAAAACCTTAGTGACCATCAAATGGCCGATAGCTGCCTGCTTAATGTCCTTCTATTTCTGTTGCTGCTTTAAAGCTGCACACCTGAGTGGCTGCTGGGGGCTTGTGGGGGGCACAGTTGTTTTAAATTCATAGGACTCCTTCCCCAGAAAAACACCTGTAGAAAAATGATGTTTAAAACTGCTCAGACATCAGGTCTCCTGGGAATATTCAAGCACACAACACTGAAGTGAATTTGAAATTTCATCACCATTCTTACTGTGGTTGGAATAAATGACAAGGGAAGCGAGGTTTTCAATACCATCCTCTTCAGTGCATGAAGTTATACAAGCAGAAAGATCGCTTTTAAAGAGGTATAAAAGGATTCTAAAATTCCTCGATCTAAAGATAGGGATTGCTTACACATTAGTGGATTAAAGGGGGATGGTGGAGTGTTTAATTTGTCTTAATTTTTGTTTTGCCATATTTTGATATAGTGATGTAGACAGCTAAGGGAGGAGGGTGTTAAGGAGTTGTTAGATCTGCTTTTTGTTCTGTGGATATGGCTGAGCTTTTGGCTAGCTCTAGACAATTGTAATCCCTAATCGTGCCGATTGTAATTGTGTTTAAAACTACCCAGCAAATAAAATGGCTGTCTCATATTTTAAGGAATTACTTACAGAATCATCCAAAAATTTCGTACTTGCATAAAGGGACCGTAAGAGCAGCATAAATGTGATGGTATGACAGATGTGCTTGGGTGAACTAAACCCGCTCTAATTTACTTATATGGATTTGCATTGTGAACTGAACGCTGTGACCAGACAGTGTAAACAAGTTCTGACAGCAGCAGCTTCAGTCCTGCTGTGCTTTGCCTCTTTAGCCTCACCATTTGACTTTGGGGAATCAGATATGCTCTGGTGCATCTCTCTTCCATCCTCAGATGTAAAATTAGTTAAAACTCAGCCTGATTCAATGTTACTAATTAAATAAGCATTATGGCTACCACATAAGCATTATTGCTACCTGGCAATACCTGAATCAGTGGAATCCGTTTGGTTCATTATATGGCCACAGGCTCCTAGATAGTTTGTAGCAGTGGAGAGGACAGCTGGTAGTGACGGCATAGTTGGGAAGAACCTTCTGGCGAGCTCTGAACTAGGAATGATCTTCCCAATTTTTACCTGTGTGATTTCTTGTAACTACCCACTGATGATAAAGTTGTGATAAATCAGATTGCTTCTCCTCCTTTCTTTCTACTCTCCTGATTTGCCCAGTTAGCTGTATCCCATTCCCAGCTAAGTCAGTGGCAGTGTTCCCTTTGATTGCTCTAAGTCTCAATCAGTATGTTTTTGTGAAATTATTTTTTGTATAAGAACGTTAAGTCTCGAAATTCTGGTTTTGCAGTGATATTGGAAGTAAGTATTGCAATATGAGGTGCAGGATATCCTTCACTGGGTGGAAATGTCCAACTTTTCAACATTAAAGAACGTGAAGATTTGTTCTTTAAGCTTATAGTACTTCCCACCTGAAGTACTGTGTTCACTTCTGAGCTCTTCACTGCAAGGAAGGGATGGATGTGCTGGAGACAGTCCATAAAGGGGCTGTTAACAAGATTAAGGGACTGAAGAATCTTTCATATGGGGAAAGGCTGAGAGATCTGGGACTGCTTAGTCTAGATAAGGCTCAAAGAGATCCTCTTAATGTGAATAAATACAGAGCATGAAGGAACAGGCCCCAGTACCACTGACCAGTAAATTGTGCATATCCCTAACAGCAGATGTCATGTACTCAGAACCAAGGGTGATGTATGTGTTTAGTCTGCCTGTTTTCTCAGCAGGAGGTCATCTCCCCCTTAAAAAACAATGAAATGAATCATCAACTGAAGTCAAATTACAGGGTATAGTTGGACAACTTTTTATTCAGCACTGAAAACCTGGGATGAGTGGAAAGGGGAAAACCCCTTTCTGGCAATAAATAAATGATATGATGAGTATACACACATAGCTGCTGAGTGTATCTGACCATCCTACCGGTTCTTGTGCTTTCTTGTCACTGTCTCATAAAGAATATTATGAATAAAGGGCATTAGCTTAAATCAAATTTTAAACTCACATTGTTATTTCACAATAGAATGGTTTCAGTTGGAAGGGACCTGAAAGATCGTCTCATTCCATTCCACCTACCATGGATAAGGACACCTTTCACTAAAACAAGTTGCTCAGAACTACATCCAACCTGGCTTGAAAACTTCCTGGGATGGAGCATCCATAATTTCACTGGGCAACCTGTTCTAGCATCTCACCACCCTCACAGTAAAGAATTTATTCAGAATTTCTAAACCTACTCTCTCTCAATTTGAAGCCATTTCCCCTTCTCCTTTTGCTACATGTAAATAGTCCCTCTACATCTTTCCTGTGGTCTCCCTTCAGGTACCGGAAGGCCACAATTAGGTTACCCTGAAGCCGCCTTCTCTCCAGGCATAACAATCCCAGTTCTCTCAGCCTTTCCTCACAGGAGAGGTGCTTCATCCCTCTAATCAATTTGGTGGCCCTCCTCTGGACTTGCTGCATATGTTTATATGTATTTAATTATAGTCTGTATTTTGCTATATTGGTAATTTTTCACCCTGTAAACAACACATATACAAGGCCCAGTACAAAATAACTCATAGTTTATTCTGCAGTTGGTTCTTAACGACTGACTAATCTTTCCTCAACAAATTTCAGTTGACGCTAGACTAAAGAGGATGATCAAATAGCATTCAAACTTGGGAGGAGAATGCTAGGAGATGAAATATGTTTGCAAAGACTAATAATTCATATGCACAAGGTAAAGTCATACTAGGAAAGCAAGAAATTTAGGACAGTTGTCTACCTATGTTATAAAAATGAAATACAGGTTCTTGGTTGTGTGACTAAACAAGCACATTTATTGCCAAGGAAAGCGGAGGAGTGTGTCATGAAAGCCAAATTTGCTTCTCATCCACTAGAAATAAGGGAGTGTAGCTTTCAATAGAAAAAAGATTCAGCTTTTATTTAAGGATGGTTGAAAAGAGAAATGTAATTTTCATGCATATTAAGGGAATTATAAAACTAATTATGTATGCAAATTAAAATAATTGAAAATAAATCAGAATCAATTGACAGCTGCCACTCTTTCTAGTTTACTTTGTTGTGTCTAGCAATTGTTAGTACTGAATGCAATGGGTAAAATGCAATTTCATTTCACAGCACTGTCTGAGCAGACTCCCACCAGAAAAATACAGCATAGCACTCATGAATGCCCTTTCTCAGCTCATTCACTGAGCTGGGCACTGTCTGATTATCTGGACTTGAATTTTATGCAGCATTTCCATTTGGGGGAGAAAAATAACCAAACAACAGCCTCCTTAAATTCTTTTCAAGTTGCTATATCTTTGTTTTCGAGTTGCAATTTTGCTGACCTGGAATGGAAGAAAAATGTAGAGGCGACATTTGTGTCACATAATTGGTGTCATTAGCAATTTCTTCACCATGAAGGAAGAAGTAATAGCAGGTCTTGGACAGTACAGTCCTCCTGGGAAGCAGGGAATAAATTGAGATTACAGTACTGTTTCTTTCTAGGCAGGACCAATCAAGATTCAAACCATCTGACTATGAACAGCTGGTTCTGAAAAAGCAGAATCTTTTCTTTTGGAGAGGAGGAGCTGATGTGGAACTGCATCTCACAGGTACATAAACATAGGTCTTGTCAGAAAGGACAAAACACATGTTAAACCTGTTCATGGTGAAAGCAGACATGAACCAGATATTTCCGAGGACTACCCACCCTTCTCAAGTGCCTAAGGGGAAAAGCTTGTGGATGACTGTAGTGCTTCAAAGTCAAGTGACAGATCTTGAATAACTAGCCAGTGTAAAAATGTTGGGTGCCTAGGAAAGCTCCTGGATCTGAAATGACCCACACAAATTCAAAATGGTCTGTTTTTATAATGCCAACGTACATTCTGCTGGACTAGAGAATAATAAACCGAGGGTATCGGCTCCTATCAGCTTTGAAATTATTTTGAATATTAATTTTTAAATGATTTGAGGCTGCTCTTGCAGTGTGCATACTAATTTAAATATGACATTTCAGCAAGAGATGTGCTAAACCAACTGAAGTCCACAAATTACAGAGCTCCTTCCTCTATAAAGGTCATTATTTAATGTGATAGACAAAAGGTATCTGAAGGACATATACCTTCAGATAATGACACTGTAGAGAGTGTTTTGAGATCCTTTCTTGAAGAGCTGGATCATATTATCAGTGCTAGTCAGGTTAGTTCAAAACACCAGTGGGTGCTGGATAATTTGATACTCATGCAGAAAAGGCAACTGAACAACTGAGAAGTGGTTTAGTTAACTTGCAAGTCTAGGGTTGTGTTGAGAATGAAGCTCAAAATTCTGGTTGCCCTTAGAAATGGTCACGTTCTTTAGGAAAGAGGATTCAGAAATCCTCTCTTGCTCATATGTATGGAAGCCTGTGGCTTCCATGATGATCTGCTCCATAGTCTTCCCAGGACTGGGAAGCTGGACTTGATAATCCTTCTTAACTTAGAGTGTAGCCTTTGTCTATTTCTGGTCATTGTGAACCGCCCACAGTCATCACAATTTATCAGAGAATACACAATTGTCTCAAAGTTGATGGCAGCTCAGCACTTTCAGATATATTCTCTCTGGATCTCCAGACTTGTGTATGATAAGTTTACTTAAGGAGTCCTTGATTCTTTTCTGCAATGGGTAATACTTCTCTTCCACAGTTTTTGCCATCACCAGGGACCTGGGAGACCTGAGAACAAACCCTGTTAGAAATGACTGAGATACTTTTCCAGCCTTTTCCATACCTGCTTCATTCAGCAGCAGATACACATCATCTTAATTTTTGTGCTGATTTCTTTATAGAAGCTCTTATTCTCTTTCATGCCCCTCACTAGTTTTAACTTGAGCTTCCATTTGACTGGCTGTGTTCCATTTGTTGTGTCATGCCTGGGTGATGCTTCTGTGGTCCTCTCAAGGAGCCTGTTCCCATTTTCACCATCTGGAGACCTTTTTTTTTTGTTTTGTTGGGTTTTTTTGTTTGTTTTGGTTGGGGGTTTTGTTTTGTTTTTTGGTTTTTGTTTACATTTGAGCTTGGATAGGAGTTTCTCATTTAGCCAAGCCATGTCTGCTTACTCTTTTGCACATCAGAGGAACTATTCATGTGCTTTTAAACTTTATTGCTGGCCCACTTGCCCTACAATACATCCCTCTGAAGCAGACAACTGAACAAGCCAAAGTCTGACATCTGCAAAAACAGACTCTTTATTTTGCTACTTGTCTTACTTTTATGTTTTTAAACTTTACTATCTCATTACAGGCAAGACTGACATTGACTATCATTGACTGCTTGCTTATTTATGAGTAGCAGATCCTGCAGAGCAGCCTCTCTAGTAGCTGCAGCAAAAAATTGTCCCCAACACACCCTAGAAATTTGGATTATTGGTATTATGCTTCATTGCCTTTCCAGATGATGCTGAGGTGTTAAATTCCTCCATGAGAACCAAGGTCTGTAACTGTGCCTTAAAGAAGCTTATTTTTTCCCTTTCTCTTCCTGACTGAGTTTCCTGTAGGAGCAATCCACTGGCATGTCCATTCTTTTTGGACGTCCTTACACACTCAGCCTATCCTTTCAGCCAACTTTTTTCCTCTTGACTACAGATGACTATGGTGGAGAGTCATCTGCATAGAGCACATTATCTCCCTCTTTCATCTTTCCTGGAAAGTCTGTGCCCATCCATTGCAGTGCTCCATTCCTGTGAACAGTTCTCCTATGGCTCCATAATAATCCCATTACATTACAGCTCTGCAACAATGCATGAATGTCTAATTCCTTCTGTTTGTCAAATATTGTGTATCTTTTACTAGTTGTTTCTATGAATTTCTGTTTCAGTTTTAATTTGAGACAGAGTGACTCTATCTTGAATTTCTGTTTTTAACAGACCTCAAAAAAAAATGCAGTGGACTGATGTGAAGAAAGATGATGGGGGAAAAATATTCCTACTTACTGTAAAAAAAAGCATATTGTGCTTATGGAAATGGTACAGAACCAAGCAGAATAAAACCATGTAGAGAGTAAGAAACTTAGACTCCTTCTCTAGGGTTTACAGTTCTTACAGTACTGAAAGGTGAGTGATAACACTATTGTGGCGCATGAACTGAGATTCATCTAATTTATTTTAAAATACTTACATTTGAGCTGCCATTATTTTCCCTTTGACAGCATCGAGCGGAAAATATGTGCTTTGTGAGTTGAGGGTAGTTTGAGTGTCTGGCACACTCACAATGCCGGTTTCTTTCTGTTGACTGCATAAAGAACTTCTAGCAAAATGCATAATAGCTACCTCAGATGTGGGGCTTTACATGTCAGTATCCAGAGTTCAGACATCAGCATCATCCTTCATGATTTTTTAAAAATCCAGCTTCTCAAATGAATGATAAAGTAAAAATCTTGCCCTGCTTCAAATAAATGCTCAAAAAAACACAGTGAAAGAAGACTGGTGCCAAAATACTTCTTAAAAACATAGTATTTTTAGAATGATATAATGATTTGTTTTTAAAGTTTTGTTTTTCTGGATTTTGAAGATTCAAAGTTGGTGAATTGCTGTACCTGAGGCAGGTGCTTTACAGACAGCTGCATGGTTAAATATATGCACTCTGAGCATTTTGCTTTTGATTAGCAAATTGGGAACCATAATTGCTTTTTCTTGCTTTGCATAATTTTTCATACCTCAGATACCTTAGATTATATCTTACATCTGCTAGAGAATAAAGTTTTTTGTTGAGTTGTTGCACATATTTAGAAAATTTGAGGGAAGCAACTTTGTTTTCTGTTTGTTTGAAAAACAATATATCACATGCAGAAAACTTAACCAAAATGTCAGTCCCTTAAATTTAGTTGCTCAAAAGATGAAGGTAAAGGGTGGATCCTGATTCAAATGCTAATGTGCTAATTAAAAAAAAACAAACATTTAAATTAGGTGTCATTAGTTGTTAAGTGGCAAGAGTCTGTTAAGATCATTTGGTCTGACTACCCATAAGTTTACTGTCCTCATCCTCTCATCCTTCTGACCATGATATCTTCCAGAAAAAAAAAAGTGAAATCTCTATTTGATGACAAGAGAGATTATATAGATGAAGTCACTTAGCGGTTGGTGAAAAAAGAATGTGAAAGGTCAGGTCTCCCCACACATTTCTTCATTCTCGATTTCAGAGCAAAATCATTTTATGTCTTCTATTGTTCTTTTTAAGATGAAAACTGAAAAATAGTTTACATAGGACTATTATTTGCTAAATGTATCTCCACTTTATGAAAGGTACACAATAGCTGATAAGTATCCTCTTTATTTTTTCTATTAAGAAGCATTGAGATCTAATAGCTACTTCTCCAAGTATGAAATTACTTTCAAATATGAGAGAAAATGAATATGTTGATGAAAACTCACAAGGTATGTCCACTACTATACACTTGTTGGCTTTGTCGCTGATTCACAACTTCTGCCTCAAGAAAATGAGAACAATGTTATGTACAAAGGGACAAGGTGTAAAAAAATGATAAGGCTACTGATTTGCTGGTACTGCCAATAGCCACGGAAAGTAGCAGTAGACTCAGTACTAAGATTTGTTCCATGTGGTATAAGAATGACAGGAAATTCACAATTTAAAAAATTCCTCAGCACTAATGCTTAGGAATTTCAGAGAAAAACAATGCATGGAGCAGTTCAAATATTTACACAAATCTGAATCGAAGAAAAATGAGTGGATGTTACCATTGATGCAATAGGTGATGTTGACTGTCGAGCACAGCAGCTCTTATGATTTCATTTAAAAATGAACTGTACAATGAGTTTGTTATTGGTACATGCTGAGTGAACTTTAGCAAAGTGATAGATTTCATTCCAGTCATTACAATCAACACAGATCCTGAAGTGTCATGCCAATGATTATATTTTTATTGAATATAATTATTGGTTTGAATTGCAAAAAGAGTATTTAGGTACCTTCATCTTTTTCAGATACCATTTTCTCACCTTTTTGCCTCTTTTGGGTTCCTCTTGCAGCTGCATATTTGTAATTTCCGATTTCTCTCTTCTCTGTCCTTTGTACTGTTGATAGTCCACAGACTTTGTGACATAATCTTGTATATATTGATTACAAGAGGAAATTATTCAAAGGGAGTAAAACCTGAAAGGTCACATTTTGAGTCCTGTATCAGTCATCCTCCCATCTGATACACTGCCCTTACGAAAGCAGAGAGTCTTGTTGTTTTTTCAATGTGTTAACACACCAAGACTTGAGTATTTGGATGATTTGCTACTTTTTGAATATTACAACCCCAGAGTTAATTCAAGTCATTGGCGATATTTTCTTCAGAAGATCCTCTTCTGGACACTTGAAAAAGAGATTAGTTCTACTCTAGCCATATGCCTTTTCTGTTTCATTTTCCACAGGTTTTTAAAATTTTGATGTTTAATGTTTTGCATAGTTGATCTTGATATACAAGAGACATTTAAGATGGGGGGTTTTTTCGGGCTTTTCTGTAAGGGAAAAAAAGGTATTTTTACCTCCATACAAATGCTGCCTGTACAAATGTCAAAGTTCAACAGTTACTGAGCTGCCAAATCAAAGAGAATTCTGCAACTGGGTCTGAAAAGAGCCCTTTGAAATGGGAATCAAATGAACTTCTGAATATTGCATGCCACTCAGTAATAACAAAAATTCATAGCAGAAAATGTCACTGAGCAGCAAAAGCTGATGTTTTTGTAGAGTTACAGGCACATATTTTCCCCAGACGTCATTAGTTGCTGGTATTTCTAAACCAGGCTAATGAGCACTTTAAGAAGGAGTCAAATAAGTTCTTATTTTTCAAAGGTTTTCGTCAAAGATCTGATCAGTTAAAAAAGACAGTTTTGAGCCCTGTCTTTATTCCAGGATGCACAGTCAGAATGACACTTTAAATTTGCATGTAAAAAAACCATTGCATACCTCAAAAGTCGCCTTGGTAAGTTTGTTCCTCTTGCATGTAAAAGCAGATTTGCCTCAATTTTTTTTTCTGTATTTTTTTCAAGCTGAGGAGAGTTGCAGAGACATTATATTCCTCTATTAATTTATGGGACCACACCAGAAGTAGTCACAGAGAACAAAGATTTTCTTTTATCAAAAGGGACTAAATTTATTTTTTTAAAATGAACACCATTTTCCTATGCACAGTCAACATATCACAGCATTTTTGGTGGTTCTAGCTAATAAGATTATGATAATTCTTTCTATTACTTATTTTTCCATTGAAAATAATTGTGATTTCAGACAAAACCCCCAATATATAAAGCTTTTACTGTACTGAAAAATAGCTTATTCTAGTAGTCTGAAAATGGGATGTGTCCCTCTAGTTCTCTTTGAACTTATTAAAGCAAGAAATTATTTCATTTTCTCATATTCTTCTAATATCTATGGATTGATATGGGCTGAAAAGAACCAAAAGCACATTTGTAAAAGTACATAAATCTGTGCTTCTTTCTTCCTCCTAAATGCCCAGAGGATGATTGAACAGTGCCTTGACTGAGAACAGTGTACCAGAGGATGACTCATCACATAGTCTGACCTTGAAGAAATGTAAAAGGTTTTCATTTTGTGCTTCTTTCCAGCCTGTTTCACATGCTGGAAAGGAGGTGGTCCAGGCACTCTCAGGTTAGTGTGAATATCTTAAAGGCTTTCTAAGTTGAGCAGGAGAAAACTGGGAGTTGAGCAAAACCGCAGACGTGCAAATAGGTTGATTGCTTTTATCCAATGAGTCGAATTTGTAAGAATCAATGTGCAGGCTAAAGAGAAGCTGCTATTTGCAGTGTAAAAACAGGGTTACATTTTATTGCTCTTACAGAAACTAAAACTATGCTGGATATTCTTAAGCACCCTCTACTGGTTTTGTAATTATTTACACAAATACGGCATTCCTGAAGGAAACCTTGAGCAAGCAAATAAGAAGAAAAGGAACAAAAAAGAATGCTTTTTTTTTTTCTATACTGTATAGTTTTACCAAGCACTTGCCCCTGCATGTTAAGCCAGGACCTGTTAAGGCAAAAAACGTAGTTCTCTCTAGATCAGTAATACTGCTGTATAAGGTTAGGAATCAGAGTTATGCTGCAAATGCAAGAAGGCTGAGCTCCACATCAAAACAAAAGGTGATGGGACTAAGGTAAGAGCTGCAGGGCACCTGGTGCTTTTGGTAACACTATTCCTAGGAAATCAAGCACAGGGAAGTTCAGGGAAGCTCTAGAAAAGCCAGGTGACAAAATAAAAGCTGTTCCATCTCACATTTTCCACTGAGAAGATTCTTATGCTGTACTTTGTATATTTTTAAACAATATAGTTTTTATTTTTTACCTGAGAAAATCCACATAGCCTTTGTTGTGCTGTGTCTGAAAAGGCTGATAATGGAATACCAATGCTCCGAATGAAGCCCTAACTAGAGTGCAAAAATATTTGCTAAATTGACTCTGAGAAAAACATTGGCATATACAAAATGTACTGCTGCAAAGATTTTTAGAAAATCAGACTACAAAGATTATAGAAAGTCAGACTGCAAAGATTTTAGGAATTCAGAAGGCAGCTGACTGAGATTCAGGGTTTGGAATGCCACGGATCTATGGAATTTTCCCCTTTGCATGTTTCTGGCCCATTTTAGAGTAAGGTGTCACCCATTGGAAGGTATTATAGGGAGTGATAAAATATTACTTTGCTCTAGCCACAGATGGATGTGTTCACCTATCTACAAGGACATTTTATCAGGAGAAGATCCTCAAGTCAGAGTACGAAACCTTTCTCATTAAACCAACAGAAATTATGGTTGAAAATATAGATCATTATATTTTTTATTTCTGCAAAATAAAAATGAGTGAATTGCACCTAAAAAGATAAGGAGCTTTTAGTTTCTTTGATTAAGATCTCTGCAGCTAAGCATGCATTTCAAATCACTATAACATTATTGCTGTATTCTAGCACTTATTTGACATATAGTTTAAGTAAGGCAAAAATGTCTTAGAGCAACTTGTATATAATATCAAGAAAAATAAAACCAAACTCTGTATTAAATAAAGTGTAGGAAATCAGTCTGCTTTAATATGGGATGATGAGACTTAATACTGGAATTCTAGTGTAGTGGTTATGTAAAGAGTGAATTGCTCATCATAAAGATTAAATCTTCATTGTGCTGTGGCAAGTGGCAATGAACTGGCAATCCATCTGTTCTTGCTCTCTTCAAATATTAGAATTTATTACTGCAGAAAAAAATAGCTGCTAATTTTTGAACCAACCACCTGTAAAGAACAAGTCATTGCACAGATAAGATGTGGTCCCCCCGCCCCCAGCTGCACCTTCAGTTAACTTCATTCCCTCAATTTGAATGAGAGCATATTTCAAGTGGAAAGCAATTATATGGCTCTGTGCCTTGTATAACCTGTTAAAACCAGTAATTTGCTGGCATAAAATTAATTCTGTACTCAGTTTACAGATCTAACTAGCTTAGAGTAAGAACATTTCTCTCTTCAAAATATAAAACTACTAGAGGCTTGCTTGGATGGGTTTACTATTTACATTGTGCTTTCATTGAATATTGGTGCTAAAACAGATTTGTCGAGAGCTGATACAGCAATGCCATTATGTATTGACAGCGTAACAATGCCATTTATTTTTCTACAGGCTTATTTGTACAAGATGACTTCCTCTGTTCTATATGTGTCTTATTCCTTCTATCTGGATGGAGCCAGGAGTAGGTTATACTCTGGAAGAGAGGAATTGAAGAGTGATAATGCACTCCTCTGCTGTTTCAAGCTTTAGTTAGTAATTATTTCTTTTCTTTCTCCAGGGTACTGTTGTGATTGTAAATACTTGGCCAGTTCCCTTTGTCATCTGAGAAGATCCCAGACCATCTTTTTCTGCAATACAGCACCCCTGTAGAGTAGCTTTTTTTTTGGCTGTGTTGAAAATGTGGGCTTTGCATTTGTCAAAGAACAGTGAATTGCATTCCAAGCAACATTGTTCAAAGCAGAAGGAACTTGCAATGTTGTCTTCATATTTAATTGAAACTTTTGTATCTCCTTTCAGAAATAATGAACACCTCAATCACTTTTTTTAGCAATGCAACCTGTAGTTCAGGGAACGTGTCTTGCTCTTCTGGCAAAAACTTGGGCTTACGGATGAATCCTTAAGAAAGCCATCAGAAGTTATCATACAATGGTTTGGGTTGGAAGAGACTTAAAGACCATCTTGTTCCAATCCACTGCCATGGGCAGGGACACTTTCACTAGACCAAGTTGCTCAGAGCCCCATCCATCCTGGCCTTGAACCCTTCCAGGGATGGGGCAAGCACAGCTTCTCTGGGAAAGAGAAGCCAGTGTGTGCCAGTGCCTCACTACCCTCACAGGGAAGAATTTCATTCTAATATCTAATCTACCCATACTCTCTTTCAGTTTGAAGCCATTCCTCCTTGTCTTGTTGCTACAGGCCCTTGTAAATAGTCTTTCTTCATCTTTCTTGTAGGCTCCCTTGAGGTACTGGAAGGTTGCAATTAGGTCACCCCAAAGCCTTCTCTTTCTCAGGCTGAACAATCCCAATTCTCTCAGTCTTTCGTCGTAGCAGAGGTGCTCCATCTCACTAATCACCTTTGTAGCCTCATTTGGACTCACCTCAACAGACTGATGTCCTTCCTATCACATCTGAGTAATCTCACCTTGGGGGGCACTGAGGTTTACCAGCAGAACAGTTACATTATGTGCCAGCACATTCATTAAAGCTTCTTATGATGGAAAAAAAAGCCTAGTATTTAAAGCTGGATGTAAATGGCCACCAACAGATTTAAGAGATGATGTTTCTCAAGTGAAATGCCTTTTTCAGAGTTGGAGAACACTAAGGAGGTGCTCTGACCTTCTGACGAGATAGGATAAAAGCTCCAGAATCAAAGAATCATAGAAGAAAAGAATGGTTTCATTTGGAAGGGACTTCAAATATTATCTAGTTCCAACTCCCCTACAATGGATAGGGACACCTTTCACTAGACTGGGTTGCTCAGAGCTCCATCCAACCTGGCCTTCATGGAAAGTTAAAAACCAGGGTGAATCATTATAACATTTTGGGGTTTTTTTTACTAGCCTCCTTGTTTTTATACCAAAAGAAAAGGTTTTAATAAGTTCATTGTTAAACTCTTGCATCCTTTGCACTGGCTATTGCTTTCTCTTTAGAGGTGTTAAAGGGTTCAGCCATTCAGATGACTGGAGCTGTAGATACAAGGGAGGATGTCAGACAAAGAATGTGCACCTCAGAAATGGATAAAAAACAGAGATAGGGTCTGAATAATACTTTATCTAAGCAGATTAAGAAGCAAATGGTATCCCCTTTGATTTCATACAGCAAACTGGAGATCTTTTCTATGAATCTAAGCAAGGTTTCATGATCTGAAATATGCTTTTAGTCTAGCTGACTACTTTAACTACTTCTGTATTAGAAAAATGGAGTTGTTAATATTTATCTGTTCTCTTATGTGGGAAAACATGAGAGTTGCTTACCCAGGAATATTTATGAAGTTCAGACATTCTATCAGAAGTAGTTTAGGATAAGCACAGATGGTAAATTCGTTATTCAAAACTGATGAATCCCCATTTTATTTTCAGGGATGTCAATAAGGAGCCAGCAGTTTCTTGAGGTGATCTTGTTAATTTTGTATTCAGGTTTTACGATTTATCTTCCAGGCTCTAAAGAGCAATTAAATTCACCTATGCTAATCAAAAGACTTAATGAGTATCATAAGTTTTGCTGATAATGCTGCTCTTTTCTTCTTTAGGTAGCTTCCTTCACTGACAGTGCTATAGACTTTAAGCACATAAATGTCACAAGTTCAGAATGGCTGGGGTCACTAAAATAAGAAGTCCATGGAACTACTGAAGCAAGTCCAGAAGAGGCCACAGAGTTGCAAAGGGGACTGAGTACCTCCCCTATGAAGACAGGATGAGAAAGCTGGGGCTGTTCAGCCTGGAGAAGAGAAGGTTGTGTGGAGACCTCAGAGCAACCTTCCAGTCTGTGATGGGGCCTCCAGGGAAGCCAGAGAGGGACTCTTCATCAGGAACTTGAGAATTTTCCCAGCGGGTTTCTGATCTAACTGTGAGGCTCCAAAAGAAGCAGCAGGGCTGGAGTTGGTTTGTGACCTGCGTTATGAACGCAGAAAATCATCAATGGCTGGTGAGGAGATGGGTGTGTGATGCTTGTGTGCAGCCCACAGAGAACAACAGCGGAACACCAGCCTCAGACCTCCATTTCAACGTGCCCCGGCCATGTGCACTCATGGCCCAGCGACCCCCTGTGTCCAGGGCTCATCCCCAACACTGTGGGCAGCAGGGCAGGGAGGGGACTCTGCTGCTCTGTTCCGCTCTCAGGAGACCCTGCCTGCAGTGCTGCCCCCAGCAGTGGGGTCCTCAACATAAGAAGTCCATGGAACTGTTGGAGCAAATCCAAAGGAGACCACAAAGTTGCAAAGGGGACTAGAGCAACTCCCCCATGGAGACAGGCTGAGAAAGCTGGGGCTCTTCCCAAGCCTGGAGTGGATGGTATGGAGGCCTCAGAGCAACCTTCCAGTCTGTGAAGGAGCCTCCAAGGAAGCCAGAGGGGGACTCTTCATCAGGAACTGTAGTCACAGGACAAAGGGGGATGGGTTCAGACTGAAAGAGGGTAGGGTTAGACTGGATGTTAGGAAAATAGTCTTTATTGGGGGGTGGTGAGGCAGTGGCACAGGTTGTCCAGAAAGGCTGTGGATGCCCCATCCCAGGCAACATTCAAGGCTCAGTTGGACGGGGCCTGGAGCAACCTGGTCTGATGGAAGGCTGGTCAGGTTGGAAGGAGATGATTTTTAGGGTCCCTTCCAAGCCCAGCCATCCCACGATTCCATCATTCTGTGGTCCCCATCACCCACACTGGAGTGGCCCCGGGCCTTCTGTGACATCCCAGCTGCCAGAGCCTGTGTTCCAGCAGGAACTGCGAGTGCCCGGCGATGAGCACAGCACAGCCACTCGCCTGCTGCCAGTGCTGCCTTTGGCTGTGCCAGTGCGCCCTTGTCAGCTGCCCCTGCTACGCCCGCCAGTCCTAAATTCCACCTGCTGTCTGGAGCTTGGCATCCACTCCTGCAGGATGGGCACCATCATCCCAAAGAAGGTACACTGCCATTCCATGGAGCTGGCCCCCACACCTGCCCGAGTGAGATGGAGAACTGTGGGGATGGTGTGGGACAGGGACCCCTCTCTGAGGTTGTGCCACCTGATGCAGGTTGAGAGAGACACGGAAGAGGAGATGGAAGTTGACATGGTAGTGGCTATAGAAGAGATGATGGAGGTCGACTTAGAAGATGTTGTGGAGGAGATGGAGATCGATTTGGAAGAGGATCTGGAGGAGATGGATGTCGATCAGCACGATGAGGAGGAGGAGATGATTTTGGGATGAGGACAGACCCTCCAGCAGCAGGACAGGCATGTTTGCCCCATTCCCTGCCCACAGGGAGAGTGGGTCTCTTGCTGCCAGGCTGGGGCAAGGCTGCGCTGGGTGACCTCCCTCAGGGACACAATGCCACAAACCTGGATTCTGGTGGCACAGCCACCACCCCTGCCCTGCCCTGTGCCTGCTTTGGGCCACATGACCCCTGTCCCACCGCCTGGGGCCCGGCTCCCATGCCCAGCCAGGCTCAGTCCTGGCAGCAGAGGCCCGCTCTGCCCAGCAGCTCCCAGGCTGGTGGCACATGGAACACCCTGCAGGGCCTGACTGGAATGACTGTTCCCTTGCTTTTCTTCCAGGACTGACGGACATGCCGGAGAGGAAATTGACCCCTGTACATATGTTTTAGTTGCTGTTGTTTCATTTTCCTCCTGTAAATATGTTGGATAGACTTTCTGCTATTAGATAAGTTGAATTGTAAATATGTTTTGTAGGTTGTTGTTTCTATAAAGATTCTTATAATGTAAATACGTTCTGTAGTTCATTGGTTTTGCTGCTCTTCTGTCAATAAATAGTCTTTGTTTTTCACACCCCAGCTCTCTTCGTGTTTGCTTTGGGCACTCGCAGCTTTTGCAGAGTTCTGGTTTCCACTTGCTCCGGGTTCCCGGGGCTGGAGGTGTCTGGGGGTGCTGGAATGGCCCCCCCCGGCTTTGTCTGGGGGGACCTGTGCACAGAGGGGTCCCACTTGCAGATGTCCCACACTGGGCACTCCTGGTGTTCATGGGCTGCTGCAGAGCAGTGTCCCCAGGAGCAAAGCTGTCACCAGCAGAGAGGGAGGTCTGACATGACCGGTCCCTGCAGTGGTGCCACCAGGAAAACTGCTGCTCCCCTACCTGCTAGAGCCAAGGGGACTCCTGGGGCAAGAGCCGGGATCAGGCCACAGGGATGCAAAACTCCAGTTGATTTCCTGAAGGCCATGACAGTCTTGGGAAGTGCTACAGTCAGGATCTGAGGAGAAGCTTTTGGAGTTGGAGAGGCTGATGTTTAAGGCTTTGAACCTCCAAGTGCTCTGGGCTTTGCTTCCCATCCTCATGGCACTACGCTGTGCCCTTCAAGAGACTAAAGCCAAGCAAAACAATCTTTCCCTTGCCCAGGTTCCTGCTGCTGGCAGTGGGCACTGGGCCATGTCCTCCTCTCTTTGGGATGTGTGGAGGGGGCAGTGCAGGCTGTGGTGGGGAGGGAGTGGGGTCTTTTCTGTGAGGGTGCCGGTGCCGGGGTGCCATGGGCCCCATGGGGGCAGGGTGCCTGGAGGTGGGTGCAGGGTGTGGGAGCTGTGGGTGCTACAGAGAGTCCCTGGGGAATGCCGTGCTGGGAGGTACAGGGCTGTGGGATCCCCGGCTGTCGAGTGCAGGGGCCGGGCTCCCAGGGGTGCCAATGGAACTCCACAACGAGCCTGTGTCCCCAGAGGTCCCCGAGCTCAGACCCTTCTGGGCAAGTGTCCGCCAAATCCCCCGGTGTAGAAGGCACCTGTGGTGAAGAGGAGAAATTTCTTGTTTGGAAAGAGCAGCTACGAAGGACACTGGCCGAGGCAACAGCAGATGAGAACATGCTGTGAAGTGTTACATTGCGACCATATCAGAACAGAGACTGTTAACCGAAGGAGACTGTTATAGAAACTGTTAATGCATGCACTGAATGTATTGTACCCCTGGTGTTACCGAGTTTTACACCATTTTCCCCCTCACGTTTATCCCCTGTTTTCTCATTGGTCGAGATTTGCTGCAACGCAGGTGTTTCCCTTCTTGGTCCCTGTTAGCCCCATGTTCCCTCCTTCCTTCCCTGATTGGTTATGACCTCTGTCAGTCCCATGCTCCTCCCCTCTTTCTAGATCCTTCCCTACCTAACATAAATAGAGTGAACCACCCTTAATAAATGGTGATAGCTGATTGAAGCTACCACTGTCCTTGAACTTCATCAGTTGTCGCGTGGTCTTTTCCTGATCGACTATGGCATCCCAGTTCCTCGAACATCCCTGTGCCCGGCACGTAGCTCGCTGGGCAGCCCCTGCCCAAAGCAGCCGGGGAGCAGGGACAGCAGCTTTCTTGAAGGAGGCCATTAGATTTTATTTCTGACCTCATTTTATATCCTATGCAGGATGGGTCTTCATCAATCAGAATGGCAGGTAGGTAACCTAGGAACGATCTGCTCTGGTTCCTGCTAGTCTGTGGTATCATGCAGTATTGTAACTATTTAAAATGATGGCTTTTGTCTGATACTTGTTTTCTACTATATCAGTAAATGACCATAATGACTTAAAATTCACTATGAAATGCTATTTTCTAGAGTAAAACTCTCTAAAATCTTTTGCTAAGATATAATTCAAACACATTTTCAGAACAGATGATGAAAACTCATCTGTAACTTTTAATTGTGAGATCTATTATTAAAAAACCACAGAATTTTATATATTTATAAAATATATAATTACGTATAATTAAATATAATTATATATAATATAATTATATACCAATATATATTATATTTTTATATTTATACCATTAAATACATAGTTTATATAATTTAATACATTTATACATATAATCTAGTGTGTAATATTTTACTGTTATGTGAAAAACTATTTATTAACATTCCAATACTTCATATGGGTAACAAGCACAGTTTTGCTCTCCCAGTAGCTTCACATACACCTAAATTTATTGAAAAGCTAATTTAGGATTGATTTGTTTCATAGCAACATAATTTTCATGTCAGATAATAAATACATAAATGTGAACCGAGATAATTCACTCAGTGCTTTGAAATGCAGTAAACATGTCCTCAAAGTGCCCATATCATGTTAAAAGATATAAAAATCCAGACCTGTTGGCAGTGGTGGTCACTAGATGACAAAAGCCACAAAGTGGCACACAACCTATCTTGCAAGATTTGCTAAATAGGAAAGGTTTTACATTTGTGGAACAAAATGGGTTATTTGTTGGGTTTTGTACCATTATTGCAATGTTCCTTTGGTATAGATGAAGGAATTCTTAATTCTGGAAGAAAAGATTGTATACAGTACTTTCACTTAGATGTAATTTCTCATACCTACAGTTACTTTTTTCTTTTTGTTGAGGCAATGTGTTGGTGTTGCAATGCAAGAGTACATCCGCACTGAAAATCTGCAATAACAGTAATTAAGCCTTTTTTGTGAGCAGAAATAACCCCCCTAATTCATTGTTCCTATGGCATCAGCATAACACAAAGCAATGAAAAAGTTGCTTTGGACATTGTACCATCATCTATAAGACATCTTTGGAAACATTAATGTCTTGTCCACAGAGAATAAATAGTATTGTCTTCTCACCACGACTTTTGCTTCCTTGGTTCTTCCAAGGTCAAGGGAGGGGATTCTGCCCCTCTGCTCTGGTGAGACCCCACCAGCAGTGCTGCCTCCAGCTCTGGGGTCCCCAGCACAGGAATGACATGGACCTGTTGGAGTGAGTCCAGAGGAGGCCATGAAGATGATCAAAGGAATGGAGCACCTCTGCTATGAGGAAAGGCTGAGAGAATGGGGGTTGTTCAGTCTGGAAAAGAGAAGGCTCTGAGGTGACCTAAATGTGGCCTTCCAGCACTTGAAGGGAGCCTGCAGGAAAGATGGAGAGAGACTTTTATGAGGGCCTGTAGTGACAGGACAAGGGGGAATGGCTTCAAACTGAAAGAGAGTAGGTTTAGATTAGATATTAAGAAGACATCTTCCCTATGAAGGTAGTGAGGCACTGGCACAGGTTTCCCAGAGAAGCTGTGGGTGCCCCATCCCTGGAAGTGTTCAAGGCTGGACTGGTCTAGTAAAAGGTGTCCCTGTGCATGGCAGGGGGTTGGAACGTGATGGACTTTAATGTCCTCTCCAATCCAAACCATTCTGTGATGATGCTATGATCCTGGATGTGAACAAATCTGTCCAGCACAGATGAACAGGAACTAAATATAATTAGGGAAACTCAAAATTTTCTCCACTTTTTAACTATGTTTATCCCCTTCTGCATAATGTGAATGTGTATGAATTCATATGTATATGAATGTATCTCCTTTTCAATGACTACAGATGGTATTTGTTTATACTTCTCATATCTGAAAAGAAAATGAGGTTTCACATTTCCAGGAGGAATATTACATCAGTGCAAATCAAAATAGAGTGAAAATTTCTTCCAGAATCCAGGGAAAATTGGAAAATGTTTTCTTTTATGGAATTTTTTGAGTCATGGGGGGCAAAACCTGAACATTATTGACCTTTCTAAAATAAATGTTCCAGTCTTAGTTAGCTGAACGACTTTTCTTTTGAAATCTTTGGTATTTTCAAGTGACTGACTTCAAAATATCTGTTGCAGTATCTCTTGATAGTGAATGTGTGTGGTTACCCCCAAACCTCTGTTATTTTGAAGTGGTTAATATTTCATCTCAGGAGCTTGAACTAGATACCTTTAACCTCTGACAAGTTTTTACCAGTATGTTTGTTAAAATACAAACATGAAATATAGCCCCCACTGGAGACAGGGAATATAGGGAATGATGAGAGACTGGGACTGTGTTCTTGTAAGCAGCTGTTGGAGTACAGTTGGGTAGAGGGGATGACACTTGATCTGATAAACATTTGCACCACCAAGGAATTTGTTTAATTTGTATGTTAGAGAAAGAGAAAAATATTTCCTCAGTAAGTTTGACTTTTTACATTTTATTGTATTTGGAGCAAGGGAAAGATTAAGTCACTTTAAACCCTGTGCAGAATACTAAAAGGAAATTAACTGTAAAAGCTGGTGTATTCACAGAGTAAACACTGTTGATGATGTATAAATGTGGATTTTTTTTCGCAGAACAGTTTATGACTGTGTCAGGAAATCCTTCTACAACAAGTCAAGTACGTGCAGGCTTAGCCACTTGGTGTTAAATGTAGAGTAAATCTGTTATTCACAGTCTTTTTGCTTTTTCAGCCGTGGTTTAGATAAACATGTGTCAGTTTTCTCTTTCTGGATACTGTAAACAAAACCTTGAGCTTTTACTTTATTGTAGGTTGAGTGATTTCACGATAACAGAAAACTCTGAACGGTGCTTGGTTCTCTATATACCAGTTCTGGGGGAAATTGATTCCATTTTAATGACTGCCTCCCTCTTCAGCACCTTGTCTGAACAATCCTAACAGTGTCCCCAGGAGATGATTTATGAGCCAATTTGGAAGCTGGTACTCCAGAAACCAGAAGCAGTGAAAGTGCCTCTCGCTGGCCTGAGCTGATCATGGAATACCTTCTAGGAGGGTAATGGAGTACTTCTGTGTTCTGCACCATTTCAGAAAGTTTGCAATGCTTTCCTCTCCCTGCAATAGCAGCAACATTCCTGTAAAAAAATGTCACCAGGCTTGGAGTATTTTCCAAAATAAGACAATCTTTTTTCAAAGAGTATAAATTTTAAAGAGTTTCTGTATAAAATGTATATGAAAGCGAACATGTTTTATGAACTATTTCAGGATAATGAAATTTGGCAAATATACAGAATCACATTCCTGTTGTACCACGCTGACTTTCAAGTTATGGTACACTGAATGATACTATACTGTGGGTTATTCCAAGTGCAAATCTGAAGTCTGAGTATTGAACAAAGAGTAACAATTGGCAGTTTCTTCTTCATTTACATGTTCTACTTGTTTTAAATTTTATGCCTGGATGAAAATAAAATCAGAGGTATTGTCTACTTCAGTTGCAAGCTTAACATTTCAGAAAACTTTCATTCTGCTTTGTTGCAAGCACCTTGTAGACAAATGGAGAGACTAAGAAAGATAAAGTTATGAAAAGTAAAACTATTTTAGCACTGTGTATATCACGTCAAATGTAGTGGTTGTAAATTTGAAAAAGGTGAGCTGTGTGCTTTTTAAACTAGTTTAAAAGAGTTTAAAACAAAAGAAAAATCAGTAGTTAGAATAAAGACTAGAACAGAGAAGACAAGGGGTTTTGAATACCTAAGAAATTTTAACAAACAAGCGCATAGGTGAGCCTAGATATTTTTGAACCTCATGTTGTACACATTCATTGGATAGGAAAAAATGCCCTTAATTTCTTATGATATATGGAAAGAATTTCTAGTGTGATATGGGGAGTGGAGAAAAACCTGAAAATTTGTTATGTTCTTTATTAAATAGAAAATTAGCCCTAGCAATTTCATTATTTTTCTAACTGCCTGCTTAGGAGGTAAGGGAGACACTCTATGCTGGCTTTTCCAAATACCTAGGAGCATCTGGGCTATACCTTTTAACCTGGTTTCTCTGATTCTCTGTATAATGATCCCTTCCCCCACCATTTCAGTTTTTCTTCTGAAACCAATTCCCATGTAGTTCAAGACTAAAGTTGAGTCATTCTTTCTATCACTTGACAGAAACTCCATTCAGTACGTTTGCAATCACACCAAAAAGAAAACCTGCCATTATACCAAGACAGTTTCAAAGAACTGGCTCACAATGAGAGGTTAAAGAGGCAAGATGGGATGGTAATTGTGTTTCACAACGGGGATATTTATGAGTGAATGAAATTTGGTTTATTTTGTGTGCAGAGTCGAACAATGAACTATATTTTCAATCTTCCAAAATGCACCCTGCCCCCTCCCTCCCCCACTCCTTAATTTTCTCTATTCTGTTACAGCTTAAATTGTTTCCAGCATCCCCCTGTAAGAATATTCTGTTGAACAGAGGCAGCAGCTGATTTATGCTTGTGGGGTGAGGAAAATTCCACATCTTGGCTAGGAGGGGTGGACAACTAAAGAAACATTTGCTGTTCATCTCCTAATTATATCAGCCTCAGTTCATTCACTGAATAGGAAATGCATGGGTTTGGATATTGCATGTGGGTACCCTTCTGTTGAATAAAAATACTTACTTTGAAAGCTATCAGCAGGACAAGTGGTAACCCATGGGTTTTGTCCAAAACCAGCTTAAGATAAGGGACTGAAGAATGTTATCATTAATAGTCATAACCCTTCTTACACCGCACCATCTGTATTTCTGATACAGATTTTAACACTTTCAGTGAGGGTGAAAATTTTCTCTGTGTAGTTATCAGCACACAGTAGAAAGAACTAGAGATGATGAATTATTAGTAATAAACTAATGATTATTTTTGTCCATAGTACTTCCATCTTCCTTAG